CTCAGTGGTTTCGCCGCCTGCTGCGCAAGTGCAAGGACCCGAGTTTGATCCCCGGTACCAAAAAAAAAATATATATATATATATTCTTTATGCAACTAAGGAGGTTATCAATTCCTAATTTCCTAAGAGTTTATTCTCCTCTTTCCTCCCGGTTTGTGCATGGGAGGGTAGTGAGGATCAAATGTGAAAAGATGTTGGCTTGCTCCAGTAGGCACCCTGAGGCTCAGGCTAACAATTGTTGGCATATTGCCAGTGCCTCCCCCAACCGGGGCTCACCACTGCCAGGTCTATAGTTGGCTGGCCTTCCTGGTAGTTGACTGTGACAGACATTTCTTGTGGTGGGTAATTTTTGCTTCTAAAACTTCCTTGCCTCAAGTTAGGTGAGAACAAGGCAGGTTCAATTTAGGATAACACAACAGTGGGTATGTCTGGAAACTCCTTTTGATTCCTGGGAACAGCAGAATCAGCTGCTTTCTGACTATGCTAGAGACAGACACCAGGACAGTGGCCCATCTCAGCTCACTGGAGCGCTATAGACTTCAGATTTTCAGCTTGAAACCAAATCACAGCTAGAAGAGGAGAAAAGCTGGTCTAGACACTGGGTATGTTTTGAACATAAGCCATGACCTAGGTTGATGAATGCTGCAGAGCAAGCCAGTGATGCGATGAACACCAGGCTAGAGGCATTTTACCAATGGACTCCTTCAAGCAAAGGTTAGAGTAGGTGCAGGCTGGATTGGCATTGTGTGCTTTGTCTGTCAGGATGCCTTTAGAAGTAGTAGCAGTGCTGGACATGGGGGCTCCCTGCTGTTACCACTGGCGAGTCACAGAATCACAGATGTGAAACTACCCTGCTTAGCTCATGGCCCTGTGACTTATTTTTAGATCTGTGACTCAGAGGCCTAGTCTTGCTCTGAGGCCTTGGAGAGAGAAATCTTTGTTCAGGGGCTGGCACTGGTGGATAGCAGGGGTTTGCTTGTTTCACTCTATGATCACATTCATATCAGGCCATAATTGCAGCGACACCATTTCCAGGAGGACATAATCTCTTGAGGCCTCCCATGTTAGGTGCCTTCTGTAAGACATGATGTAATTTTGTGTGTATGTGTGTGCAATGAAGACTGAACTCAGTGCCTTCATACTGAGCTATATCCCTGGCCCCCTATTTTTTTTTAAAACAGTGTCTCAAGAAATCGCCCAGGCTGAGCTCAAATCTTCAAGCCTCCCAGAGTGTTGGGATCACAGGCATGAGCCATCACACATGACATGTGATATAATTTGACAATCAGAACGTGTGTCCCCAAATATTCATTCTAGCCACTACATAGAATATGAAGAATGTAGTATAGATGGAAAGTGACTAATAAGGCATGTTACTGCAGTAGTCCAGAGTGAATTAAAATGCTCTGAACTAGGGTAGAAGCAGATAGATTTTCTGGTTCAGTATGCTAAGTCAAGCACAAATGTTTACTTTAAGACTGCATTCAAATGTCATTAAGTGAGTGAAATGAAATTTATGAATAGAATTGGGCTGGGAGGAATCTGTGATCTAAAGTACTTCTCAGTGCACAGGGTGCTGCCACTTAGGTCATATGTGGGGGGTGCCAATGTGCAAGAGCGACCCCCTGCCTGGACCTCTGCAAGGCTTCAGAGTGCTGGTGGCAGGTCCAGGAGCGGGCAAGAGTGAGAAGGGGACATGAAAATCAGAGGATGTACAAGTTGTGAAAAATCTTTTCTTAGGGCTGCAAATGATTTGTAATTAGGCAACATACTACTATGAAAACAAAAAAGTGAGAGGAAGACTTTGTAGGTATCTGTGAGATCTGGAGCCTGACGTC